GATTTTCATGCTCCCCTGATACTTTTTTGAAAAATTTCGAATTTTCAATTTTCGGTGAATACCTCCTTGATTTTTATGCTCCCCTGTTATTTTTTTGAAAATTTTTAATTTTTCAATTTCAGTGAATACCTCCTCGATTTTCATGCTCTCCTGATACTTTTATAAAAATTTTGAATTTACAACTTTCAGTGAATACCTCTTCGATTTTCATGTTCGCCTTATACTTTTTCAAAAATTTCGATTTTTCGAATTTCAGTGAATACCTCCTCGTTTTTTATGCTCGCCTGTTACTTTTTTGAAAATTTTTAATTTTTCTATTTCAGCGAATACCTCCTCGATTTTCATGCTCCCCTGATACTTTTTTGAAAATTTTTAATTTTTCCATTTCAGTGAATACCTCCTCGATTTCCATGCTCCTCTGATGCTTTTATAAAAAAATCATTCATGGGGAATTATTTGAAATAAAAGTACTAACGAGTGCGCATGCGCACTGAAGCCACAGATGCGAATGAAAGTCATGCAAATGCGCCATTAGTCTAACCTCTTTGATTATGTTGCCACTTCAGTTTGTTGTCAGCAGAAACAACGTTGTCTCCCCATAACCGCCAAATTACTTCAAGAAGCTAGCTGGAAAGATTCTGAAGAATAAAGAAAGGAGAACAACTGATATTTGGAATTGATTAGTGTAATTACTGTGCTAGTGTCGCTGGAAAAAATCATGACAACAATGAAGGAGAAAGTCGTCTCCGGGGACACCACTTATGTTATCGTATGTACAGGCTATTTTTTCTATTCTTGTCCCAGGATTTAAAACATTTTTTATTTAAACATTCCTCGGACAGTTAATTAGATCTTTTATGGTACTTCCAGCTTGTATTATTCGTGTGGACACGTGAAATCAATTATTTTCATTTATTTGTTCTCTCCCTAACCACATAAGGGTAGGCAGAAGAAATATAAAAGAAAAAAATAGTAGAGACATGCAAAAGGTGGTAAATCCTACCCAATTTAATAGACCATAGGAAAATGAATATTTGTCTATTTTTTATGTCATCTATTTCCACACCCATACCTAGTCAAAATTCATGTTATTTTTTTTTTTACAAATTATCGATGGAATTGACGTAAAAAAATATTTTGCATTGTTTGGTGCCACCATTTGCATGTATTTTATGCATTTTAATCTGACAATAATTTCGCCAGAAAAATTTAAAAACTTAATGATAGTAGAAAAGGAAATATATCTAAAAAAAATCTAGTTACCAGATAATTTTACGCGCATTCATTGTTCTTATCCGGTTTCTATGAGGTTCACGACTGATGATTATTTGGTTTTCTTTCTTTTTCAGAGTGAGGATGATTGGCCCTATGAAGAAGAGATGCTGCGTAACCCACATTCAATGAAGCACTGGCAACGCTACATCGATCACCTAAAGAACACGAAATCTTTGAACCTGAATACCGTCTTCCGGCGAGCTCTCGAAAAGCTGCCAGGTAGCTATAAACTCTGGTCGAATTATCTTTGCCATCGTCGCGGTCAGTTGAAAATGAAACGCATCGACGATAAGATGTACGAAGACATCAACAATGACTACGAAAGAGCTCTCGTGTTTATGCACAAGATGCCTCGAATTTGGATTGAGTATTCAAGTTTTATGACAGAGCAATGTTACATCACTAGAACGCGTCAAGTATTTGATCGAGCACTCCGTGCCCTCCCAATTACTCAACACCACAGGATCTGGCCTTTGTACCTAGATTTTGTGAGTAAACACGATATCTCCGAGACAGCAGTCCGGGTCTTTAGAAGATACTTGAAGCTAGCCCCTGAAGACACCGAGGATTACATTGAATATTTGATTTCCATCGGAAGGCTCGACGAAGCTGCGATTAAACTAGCCTACATAGTAAATCAAGACGACTTCGTTTCAAAACATGGAAAATCAAATCACCAGCTGTGGAATGAGCTCTGTAACTTAATTTCCAAGAACCCAACGAAGATCAAAAGTCTAAACGTGGATGCAATCATCAGGGGAGGCCTCCGAAGATATACAGATCAATTAGGACCCCTTTGGAATGCTCTGGCAGATTATTATGTACGTTCCGGTTTATTTGAAAGAGCGCGTGATATTTATGAAGAAGCAATTCAAACGGTAACAACCGTCCGAGATTTCACTCAGGTCTTTGATGCTTATGCCCAGTTTGAAGAGCTGAGTCTGAGTAAACGAATGGAAGATGCTGCAAACAATCCAAATCCAACCGCAGAAGATGATATTGACCTCGAGCTGAGATTGGCCAGGTTCGAGCACTTGATGGACAGACGATTATTACTCCTGAATTCTGTGATGCTTCGGCAAAATCCTCATAATGTTCAGGAGTGGCACAAACGTGTGAGGCTTTATGAGAATCAACCCCACGAGATTATCAGTACATACATGGAAGCTGTGCAAACTGTTCAGCCGCAATTAGCTGTTGGTAAGCTTCATACTCTCTGGGTATCATTTGCAAAATTTTATGAAGCTAATAATCAATTGGACGACGCCCGAGCTGTTTTCGAAGAAGCTACTCGGGTTCCCTATACGAAGGTCGATGATCTAGCTTCTGTTTGGTGTGCTTGGGCAGAGATGGAGATCGATCATGGAAATTTCAATGGTGCATTGAAGCTCATGCATCGGGCAACAGCAATGCCCTCGAGGAGAGTGGCATATCACGATGAATCTGAGACTGTTCAAATGAGACTTTATAAATCTCTCAAGGTCTGGTGTCTTTATGCCGATTTAGAGGAATGTTATGGAACTTTTAGGACGTGCAAAGCGGTTTATGATAAAATCGTTGACTTGAAGATTGCAACTCCACATATTATTATGAGCTATGGGTTGTTCTTGGAGGAGAAGAATTATTTTGAAGAGGCTTTCAGAGCGTATGAAAAAGGAATCGCGCTGTTCAAGTGGCCTAACGTTCATGATATTTGGAAGAGATACCTGGAAAAATTTCTTCAGAGATATGGTGGTGAGAAGTTGGAGAGGACGAGGGACTTATTTGAACAGTGTTTGGAACACTGTCCTGCTAAATATGTGAAGACATTTTATCAACTTTATGCGAAATTTGAAGAAGAGCATGGATTGAAGAGTCGTGTTATGTCAGTTTATGAACGAGCCACAGAGAAAGTTCCTAATGAGGAGAAATTCACCATGTTTAATATTTATATCGAAAAGGCAGCTGATATATATGGGATTCCCAAAACTCGTCAGATTTATGAGAAAGCCATCGATGTGCTTAATGAGGAAAACACTAGAGAGATGTCTCTACGGTTTGCTGATATGGAGACGAAACTCGGGGAGGTTGATCGTGCTAGAGCTATTTATAGTCACTGCAGCCAAATTTGTGATCCTCGGGTGACTTCTAATTTTTGGCAAGTGTGGAAGGACTTTGAGGTGAAACATGGGAATGAAGACACTATGAGGGAAATGTTGAGGATCAAACGTAGTGTTCAAGCTATGTACAATACGCAGATAAATATGATGTCAGCTCAGATGTTGAATACTGCGACAGCAGTTCAGAGCAATGAAATTCCAGATGCCATGAGGTTACTGGACAGCAAATCTGTTCCAGCGGAGCAGGGCAGAATTTTACCACCTAAGGATACCATTTCCTTTGTCCGCGGTGTAACGGAAGGCGGAAATAAAATAAGTCAGGTCAATAATCCAGATGAGATTGATATTGACATAGATGAAGATGATGATAATGAAGACGAGGCACAAATGGAGGAAGAGGTACCAGTTGAGAAACAACTCATTCCCGCACAAGTCTTCGGGGGATTGAGAACCAACGACGATGATTAACCGTAAATTTATTTTATTTCCTCCAATCTGTAAAAAGCTTCAGTCTTTTTTTACCTGTGGAATAATGTATACTATCAATCTCAGGAGATGAATGATTGAATAAATTAATTTAGTATACTCATGTGTACGGAGCCCCTGGCTCTTCCATTTTTTTAAATAACTTAACATGAGTTATATTTATTTACATTGAGGAAAAACATTAATAATTAATATTTTCAGAATTCGAATTCGAAATAAAAAATGAAAATGCCAGTTAAAAATTTTCAGATTTTTCAGTGCTTTAATTCATTCACAAGCCTGACTGAATTCAAACAGAAATTGAATTTCTATTGATTTTTAAATTCCTGTACGACTTCACTAGAATTCCGCGTCGAAATAAAATACATTGCATCATAGATAATCACCTACATGAGTTTGAACTTATGTAAGACTCAACTAACGAAAGAATTCTGTGAAAGGATCCGAATTTATCTTCCACACTCGACTTATATTATATCATTATCTCATTATATTAAATTCTATATTAATTCTATATTAATTCCATATAATTATTATATTAAATTCTATTGATATCTCAATGATATAAAAATCCCCCGAGCAAATCCCCGGAATTATATTCACCATTATTTATATCCTATAAAAATAGAGAAATTCCTGTGATTAAATTACATCTCACGAGATCTATGATTCCGCGACAATTTTTTCCACACGCTGAACATTCGATATCTTCTCCAATGAAGACTGTTCCCCGTTCTATTAATAAATCTAAGATAAATCAGATTGGTAACACTGAATAAATATTTATATTAATATTTTTCATAATTCAATGGTACTCTCTACAGAACTGAACCTGTGTTTATCGCTTGAGCATCAGTTTATCGTCTTCACATGTTATAGATAACCGAAGCACAATTGAAAATGAGAGCTCAATCACCTGCCACCATCTCCATGGAAAAAACCGTGATGATATAATTTTTAAAATAGTCATTTAAAAAATATGGTGACTCCGTGGAAGATAAAATCTAGAGCATACTTTCTAATATTTTTAACGTGACGTATTGGACATATTTGTTCAATTACTATGGGACTCGTGATTTTAATTGTCTTAGGCAAATAGATGAGTTTTCAGACTGTGCTATACACGTGGGGCCAACGGATCGTTTGACCCGCTCCATTGGCCAACTATTCCCACTGAAAGCACATGAGCTACTGATCTTCTTGTAATACACGCGGATAAAAGATTGTGCGTCACTTTCATGGAACTAGTCGAGGTGGATCTACTCGGTATTAAGTGAGAAAAGTCAATCCGCAAAGTTGTTTATATATGCTAAAGTACATTATACAATTCTCGTCACAATTGTCTAATTTATTCTTTGTTCGATGTATGAATATAAATTGTGCTGAATGAAGTTGTGTTTCGATACTGTGGATTATTGCCAAGATAACTTTATTTTTGACTAAGTATGGTAGTCGGTGACGTACAGAACGGACTTAGCATCATACAATTAAGTGGTGAGCTCTCAATGCCAGTTGACAACTTGCGCTTTTCAAGATGTGACAAATTTCATTTATTACATAGATTACGATATCGAAAATGAATTGGAGAATAAAGCCGAGAAAACCCGTGCATCGTCGGTGGAACTTGAAGACGCGCTTATAGCAACAGGTAAGTTGTTACCAGAATTTAATTCGTTATTTTTGTATTTCTTGGAGAATATAAGGGGTTTATATAGAATCAACAGGTGAATATTTCGGGCTTCGATTTGACTCCGGAGAATTTGTTGTTGTTTCTAAATCTATAGATTAACAAGAAACAACAAGGTCTTGCAATTTGACAGACATATACTACATGTCTGTTAAATTACCCTTTTTCGAAGTTTAAATGCAAATTCTATTTTTGTAGTTCAGACGGGAAAGGTGTATTCTCAGTTCCGATGCTGATTTCATTGAACAATTACGTTTAGGGAAATTAATTAATTAATTGGAAAGATTACGGAGAAGTTGATCAGTAGTGGGGACTGCGTTTTCCCACCGGCGTAGCCTCATCGCTGCTAGTGCGGGAACAGCCACAAAAAAATGTGACTATTTTCTCTCAGAGATAGAAAATTAGAGAAATTCGAGGAGTCATCTTAATTCATGTACAGCCACTGAAAAAAATGACAGTATGATGGACGATCGTGAGGCACATTGAATTGAATTATATGGGATTTCCCATTTAATTTTTTTTTAAATTCTACTCCTTGTGTATACCTTTCCGGGTTTTTACGATTTGTTCCCTTCCACCATCCCAGCTGGACCATAATGGCGGTGAGGGTCGAAGAAAAAACATCAAGCGAGAAAACCTTGGTCAGGTAAAGTCGTCCCTTTGGAGACCGTTGGACGGTGGAACCACTGGAATTCCCGATATGTATTTCTCCAAGGATTTTGTATTACTCTTCAAGTTTTCTGTCATCCGATCTGGAGAGCGTTGAACCGATATTCCTACATCAGAATTTTCTATCTTTGGGGGATTCACAGCAGAATGTATCGAATCGCGATAAGAAAGCAACATTCCTCCCATCTTTTTGTCTCCACAGGTTCATAAAATAGAATTGTCACTCGAAGTACCGGATCCTGACTGAAAAAATAAAGTGAAAAAATAATTCACAAAAAGGTTTGCCCGCCGGATTTTTTGAACTGATCAATTTTACTTTTATTTATTGCGAAATTATCAGAAAATGGCTGATTACTGAGGACCACTTGAAGTATTCGTACTGATGAAGAAATATTTGTTTGTTATAATAATTATTTGTTGTTATCACTAGCTTTCTATGTTAATACGTTTTATGTGAAGTTTTATTTTCAAATAAATTCAAATAAATCGTTAGGCACTAGGTTGTTTATGAGGACTGCCAAACCTCAAAATTAATAATTAATAATAAAAATGGCTGTCGATCAGTCTGTATATGAACTTCAAAGGCGAATGAGTTCTTAAATACTGGCCTCAATTTAACATTTCGAAATGTTGAGCGGTCACAAAAATATTTAATACTATTCCAATCTGCAAAAGAAAACAGAATAATTTTTATTTATTCACAAATAATTGCACCGTCCTCGCTGTACAAAACAGAATAAACTGAATAAACTAAATAAACAAATAGACAAACCAATATTTTAAACTAAAACGAATTTCCGGACCCATTGTTAAATGATTAAACAATCGTCCGGTATGAAAGCCAATATTAGTTACAATATTTGTTTAAATTGAAATCTGTCGATAAATCAGCTGGTGGGACGATTGACTCGAATTATCGTGGAACAGGAATCTACTATTTCTGCGAGAATGAACACGTCCATTTTTAAATGGAGAAAGAGAAGAACTGACCTTCAGGGATTCAGAGGGGAATGCCTCGAGAGAAACATAAACAAATTCGCCGGTACACCTGAAAGGATTACCGGTAAAATATAAGGAATTCGAGCATCGACAGAAGCTGTAAACCAGGCCAATGTTTAAACAATCTTAACAAAAATTTAAAAAAATTCTTTCACTAGCGTTTTTTAATTCATTTGCTGCTTTAGTCATAATCAAAAGGTTTATTAAGGCCCGGATGGACTCCCTGGAAAAGATAATTTACTCCAAAATTGGGACTTCTAATTACTCCGTCAATTAACCGTTTTTTTAAATAATTGTTAGCTAGCGTTCTAGCGGTTGTCAACAACTAGGCCGCTAGCTAAAAATTATCGGAGAAAACGATTAATTGACGGAGTAATTAGAAGTCCCAATTTTGGAGTAAATTATCTTTTTCAGACAGTCCATCCGGGCCTTGAATTAAGAAAAGTAGACAAAGTCGAGAAGTTATGTCTACAGATTACGATTGAGAGGAAGATAATTGAAGAAATAAATAGTTGGGATGGAGGAAACTCGGATATTGATCATCAAGTCAATAAATGTTCGGTATTAATTCAGTTGATAATTTATTTAGGTTTTGGATTCTACAATATATTCATCGCCTTGGCGGCAATTCCAGTTGCTTGGGCCAGCGCTTTTGACATGACAACGATGGCTTTCATCTTGGCATCAGCCGAATGTGAACTGGAGCTCACATTAATCAGGAAAGGACTCCTGGTTTCCTCGGTTTATTTCGGTACTGTAAATCATTTTTTTATTCACCACCTGTATCAATTAAATATGTGTACTTCACATTTTTAATTAAGGGTCGGATGGAGTATCTCGGAAAGATAATTTACTCCAAAATTGGAATTCCTAATTACTCCGCCAATTACTTGTTTTTTTCAATAATTGTTAGCTAGCGTTCTTGTCGTTGACAACCGCTAGAACGCTAGCTAACATTTATCGGAAAAAACAATTAATTGGCGGAGTAATTAGGAATCCCAATTCTGGAAAAAATCATTTACTCCAAAATTAGGATTCCTAATTACTCCGCCAATTAATTGTTTTTTCCGATAAAAGTTAGCTAGCGTTCTAGCGGATATCAACGACAAGAACGCTAGTTAACAATTATGAGAAAAAACAATTAATTGGCGGAATAATTAGGAATCCCAATTTTGGAGTAAATTATCTTTTCCAGATAATCCAACCGGTCCTTAAACCAATCTAAATCTATTATCTTTGCGTTTTGATTGCAGGAATGATGGTCACATCTTTTTTCTGGAGCTTCATCACGGAACGTTTGCATCGTAAAACCATGATGATGGTGGGACTCTTCATAGATGCCCTGTGCAATATTGCTTGCTGCTTTGTTGAGTCCTATTATGTGATTCTTCTATTGAAATTTATTACTGGTACCATGTGAGTTTCTTGATTATATCCTTCGTAGGCAGAAGGAATCGATTAAGAAAAAAAAGCTCACACATCCAAAACGTTAAGACTCACCTTCTTCAGGGATTCATACCATTCTTCATGTTGTTTAATGGTGTCTATCTAGATAAACGAAAGTTCATAAATATTTGTTATATAGGTATTTCCTATAAACATTCGCATATATTTTAATTAAATATCCGTTTCGCTGAAATCTCCATCAAGATCATATTTTTCTATTCTGTAAATAACATTGAATGATCGATTGTTATTTCCATTTTATTATCAATTGTTATTCCCCGCGGAATTTTGACAAAATGGTAGACATTTAATATCGAATATATTAGATTCAATTTTTATCACATTAAAACAACGCAATATATTAGTATATTATATCCGAGTGGACACGTGGCGATAAAATGAATCCATGTAATCGAAGTTGATACGATATTCAATTTAAAAAGAATGTGAAAGGTAAATTTAATAACTTGTAATGATTTTCCAGTGTCAGTGGGCCACTCACACTCTTGATTCCGTATATCAATGAATTTCAACCGTCGAACTTCCGGCAGAAATTTAATATGTGGTCTGGACTTATCTTCAATATTGGATTCATCGCCCCAGCGAGTGAGTAATTAAAACCACATTTTATTCGTCAGAGTTTCGTCATCCTGATCATAATATTAATTATTAATGGCCTCGAATTATACTCAACGTTCACCGCGATTCGTGCATATATTACTATATACTTCAGTAAAACTTGTTTACCTTCAGATGCATCATCACACTCGATAAATAAAACCGCATTTTTATTCAAAGACAAATTACGTGTGAAAAGTCTTCCGCCCGACAGAATAATACCGATTATTTTTTTTTATTGAAGGATGATCAACAAGAGTTACTATTCGACTTGTCTAAATGAGGGATTACTTCAATTATTTCTCCGAACGAAAATTAATTATTTCACAGTCTAGTATTTATCGGAATAATATTTATTTATTAAAAATTTATGGAGAAACATTAGATTCTGGACATTTGTTGCTATTATTATTATTATTTCTTAATATTTTTTTTAAATAAAAAAATCCAATGTAATATATATATATATATATATTATTATATGTACTATTATTATTTATTTATTCGTTTTATTAAAAAAAAAAATTGAATTCCGATTCTTATATATCTATCGTTGAAAAATGAAATAGAAACTCATGTAGTAGCACTCTAGTATATATAAAATATATAATAATTATTTATATATTCATTAATCACAAAATTTTGATTGTTGTTCCAGTACTGGCCTTTAATATAACGCCTCAGTCATGGTCCTTTGTGATATTGAATCGCGAATACACAGCATGGAGAATCTACCTCATGGCTTGCACCCTGCCTTCTATAATCGGCTGCATAACAATGACTTTTTCCCCTGAAAGCCCTCAACAGCTGATGAAAGCTGGAGATGTCGACAGAACGTACTGTTTACTCAGGCGAATGTACGTTATCAACAATTTAAAATCACCAGAGACTTTCACGGTAATTTTTTTTATTACTTAGATAATAATAATAATATAATAATTTTTATAATAATAAATTTTTCCACATTTACAGAGAATTTTTGCACCTGCCTCACTTTAAATGACAGAAAAAGTTAAAAGACGTATAAATTAACATATTTCATTTAACTATTGAATAATAATTAACAGATTAAATAAATAAATAACAGATTCATTAATTTATTGAATTGGTCTTCTTATCCTTCTTGCCTTTTGTTTATTTACTCCAGTCAATTAATTATTCTTTTAATAGGTAAAACGCATACATTCGCATGGAGTTCGCAATCGAGTGGTTCCACAAACGAATGTAAAAACTATTAGACGGACTTGGAGTGATATAAAGCAGCTGTGCAATAAGAAATACTTGAAGAATTTCTTGATGATAAATTTTCTGCAATTTGGCAGTTTACTGGGGCACGTAATATACAAAATTATTTTTATATAATAAAATGTAATAGAAAAAATGTTACAAACACTTTCGATTATTTTATATATTTGAGTAAATGTTCAATTTATTGTTTTCAGGTTCAACGTAATGAGACTTTGGGTGCCACACATGTTTATGATTATTAATAATTTTCAATCAACTATATGGGATTGGACCCGCGGTGATCCAACGATGTGCGACTACTTATCCGCAGTCGTAATTCCCGAGGGTGTTACCAACAATACGCTTTATGCAAATAATTGCGCTATGGTAATACTCTATCGATTATACATTGTATGAATAATTAAAACTGTAGCTATTTAAGGGTAATGATGTCAAATCAAACTCATCGGCGTCATGAATTAAGAATTCGGCTGCAGTTGTACGAATCATGGAATTATTTCTTCTAGTGGCGAATCAACCCCATTATCTACGTCAGATCGACCATCATCGCCTTTTCAACTGTTGGTTTTGCATTCTTATTTGCTCTATTTCACACAACAAAAGTCAAAAGAAAAATTGCAATGGGTAAATAAATAAACCTGCGGTACCTCAGTCATCGAATAATAACGGAAAATCATGTAAATTTCTCAAATTCTTTCAGTTTTCTGCTACACAATCGCCGCCGTTAGCAGTTTTGTGGCGAATTGGGTTCAACTCGTTCCTGTAATGCTAGTTCTATCATCGATCATTATAGTTACAGGCCGCATAACGGGTAACATAGTTATCGGTATTAACACCGCCGTTATTCCACTATCATTAAGGTAATATTAGTCCCTCTTTTTATATCGTCTCGACCATTGCTCCAGCAGCATATGTTTGGAAGCCTCACAATTGGAATTATCTTGTTCTTATTTTATGATTTTTGACGTCAGCTGATGTTCCACTTTCTCACGTCTTTTACAGGACAACAGCTATTAGCTTCATCACCAATACTGGAAATGTGGCAACAATCTTTGGTAATTTGATTTTTAGCTGGCTACTCAGTTTTCATTGTTACAGCGCCTTCGTGGGCATTGGATTTATTTTATTACGTAAGTCTACCATTTCTCTCATTTCTGAACCGATTAGGTGATAGGATTGATTTATTGATAGGATTGTATAAAATGAGGGAGGAATGTAAAATGGATACCTCATACTGCCAATACATTTTTATGTACATTAATTAGTAATATAAACATGAGTATTAATTTGTTCCTAGAAGAGGCATAAAAAAAATGACTTCGAAACTATTTTTCAGCTCACATCATTATTTTTGGAAAATAATCCAAGATCTTTCCATTTTATATTAATTAGGGAATTATTGGGAGCAGTGGGTGAAGTTAAAGACAAGATCCCTGATTGGCTGGCCTCAGCGATGGGGGATCTTAATTTGACTTGAACCACGCGGCTAACTTATGGAAAAACTTATGAAAAAACAAAATATTGACTTAATTTGATTAAATTTTCAGTTTGCCTGTTGATGTCTTTCCACGAAATGACGCCACCTGAAGAAGATCTCGACAGTAAGACGTAGATAATATCCAGGATCCTCAGATACTTCAGACAAACACTGAGGATTCTTTTACTGGACAATCAAGCTCGATCCGATTCGCTGATGTAGATCAATCCAAGCAGAATAAAGAGCTGCCTCTTTCCGTAATCATCAGCCTTCCGTTATTAAAGAAAACCTTCTCGAGTAGAGTAATAGCATACGGGTTTTATCTGCCGCCTCTAGAATTATTACTGAACGAACATGAGATGAATAAAATATTGTGGGCCTCACGGAAATAGAGTATTTTACTCCCTAGAGGCACAATGTCCTATTTTTCCATGCGGAACTGCGCTGCATCCACGAATTGTACATTTTTCCAAACTGCTTCAGCTTTTTTGTTAGGGTTCAAAGCTCTCGAACTTTGATTGGTGGCAATGTAATTTTTTTAAGACCACATAACAATCTACGAAAAACCCATGAAATGAATTTTCCCGGAAACATTACGTTGAAGACATGAGAGTAATCCTATTAATATTACTTCCGTCCATTCCATTACAGAAAGATAAACATCGAGACTATCGATATCTCGAAAGTCCGTCACGCTTATCCGTCATTGGTGCAGTGGTCTGAGGCGGCTAATTCGAATTCAGAAATCAGTAAATCGATATCTCGAGAGTCTATCACGCTTATTCCTCATTGGGGCAGTCATCTGAGGCGGCTAATTCGAATTCAGAAATAATTCAATTAAAACATTTTCAATCATGATTTTTATAATTCCAGCGCGCTGTAGTGCGCATTCGGTCTCGAAAAAGAATAAAATATCGTCATGTGTTGAGTGCGCGCGCGTGCTTTTTGGAAGGTGAAAATTATCGACCGCCAGAATCGCAGTGACAGTGCAACGAGACTGAATTCGAGTGACCTGTACTGAAAATTCTACAATCTGAGAAAGACTCTGAAAATTATTGAATGAGAATAGCCTCAATTAACAAAATGAGAAAACAATCTTCGTCTGTTTTACAAAATCACCTATTGTTAATTAATATTAACTTGAGATGTTCGGAAAGGAGTGACATAAAGTGAATAGTAATGGCAACTTCCTTTATTGGAGCAACAGGCCTGACACTCGTATTCTACAATTTATGAAGCGTTTCTGTCTGATCAAAGAAAAAGAATTAATAGTGAAGAAGCAATAGTGAGTAAAAATTATTATTGCAAAAAAAAAGAGAAGATCATTCGTTTGTTCATGTCAAAGTATCCTCACCCATTCCATCGTGCACTCTATAACAATTTTTCAATGATAATTAATTAATTAAATTTAAGGCTCGGGTGGATTATCTAGAAAAGATAATTTACTCCGAAATTCGGATTCCTAATTACTTTAGCAATTAATTGTTTTTTTCAATAATTTTTAGCGTTTTAGCGGTTGTCAACAACTAGGCCGCTAGCTAACAATTATCGGAAAAAACGATTAATTGACGGAGTAATTAGAAGTCCCAATTTTGGAGTAAATTATTTTTTCCAGGCAGTCCATCCGGGCCTTAAGGGTCAAAACAAAAAGAACGCCAATTGATATATTGTTAATTTTATTTAACTAGACTATTTTCTTTAGTGGTAATTATCCCTGTAATTGTGTCGAGTATAGATCAGTAGTAATTTTATCATCATAAGTATAATATATGAAATCCTCCGTTGGATTAAATAAACGAACACGATCGAAATTTTAGAAGGGGAAACATGCGAAATTTTGGCAAGCAGTTGAGTCGAGGATACGGAGATCGACGTCGGCATTATTCGCCTTCAAAGGCCAGAGGATGCTCAACTGTTCCAGAAAGCCGAAGGTAAACGAATTTTGGATGGAAAAATTCTCGACTGATTTAAAGAGATTAAAATCCCGAACACCGAACTCGAACCCTCACGGGTCGCGTCGTCCACTCGAGCGATTTTTAATTAAATCGGCCAGCCTTTTCATTTCGAGGAAGCCTCCTCCCTGATTCGATCCCCTAAAATTGATATTCGTTGATATTAACTATAACAAGAGTTAATATTATTCTAATATATTTTAACCCGCGTTAACAAATCTCGAATGAGGCGACTATCTAGAATTATTTCAAAAGCTTGAATTCCCCTCAATGCTCCCCTCTCCCGCCCCTCAACGTCTATTAATTATTATTATTTATAATTGTTCATGAAATCAATTGATATATTGTTAACATATTGTTAATTTTTAGGTGAAAAGCTGTTTATTGTGTGATCGGTCATTACCGGATTTCAAGAATGCATAATCCTGGGGATTTTCCAGTAGATCTAGACTAGCACCTTGGACCCTGAATTCATCGAAGCATTGAGACCAAGAGTCGGAAGATGCATGTTGAATGTCATTCCCATTATAGTGGTGCATGTGCCTATTTTGAATCGACGATTTCTTGGATATGCGGGAAAAATTAATATGTAAAGACCCGGTGAGTAATGCAATCTCCGAAAAAGATATATTATGGAATATATTGATGATTAAATTAATTTTTTTCTTTAGCAGAATCAACGTATTGTTTAGTGACTGCGAATTAACAATAATTTTTATGTTGTATATGATTTTTAATTTCCGTATGAACAAAACTCGTTCGGGTTTTTGCGGTATTTCAGGAAAAATAATTTGAATTTGGCTTAAGGCCCCCGGGCGATGGCCAGCTGCAAGTTCTTGGAAGGGATTCCGTTAAAAATAAAAAATAAATAATTTCAATTTGGATAAAACTTTGTGTAATTTGGTGGAATATTTTTTAGGTAACACCACGAAGGCATAACGTAAAACTATGGAAAGACCGAAACCAGAGTCTTAAGACACTTTCGACAAGCCCACATGGGGGCCTGAGGATACGAACGTGGCTCCTAGCTATTCTAGGAGCTTTAGTAATGTCACTAATAATCATCAATACTCTCATCACTGGCCAATTCGGAGTGACTCATCTTATAAATACAACACAAGGTTTTGAATCTCTCAATAAGTATTAAGACACTCCATTAAACAGCGCTAGATTTTTTGGGCATTGCAAAATAAAATCAACTTAACAGTGAATTAATTGCCATTTGTTTTCCCTGAAATATAGATAAGTACATCGATAATGAGTCCCAACTGATGAATGTTCAGAATAAGAAAGACGGCTTCCTAGTTCGAAACAACGGATGTCGGATAACGGCCTTCGATCCCTTGGACTCGTTCAGCAAACGTTTCATGAAAACTGAAGTACCAATTCAATGTGAATTCGGGAGTCAGCTGCCTTTGGTAGAATCGAATGAAACTCATATATTCGTAAATCGTCATGCCATTAATCAGTACTACAATACTACCGAAATGCCAAGGTGCTGCTGGCGAGAATTTCGACGGAAGGAGAATAATGATAATCAAATAACGTAAGTTAATAACCGATTTAAGGACCGGTTAGATTATCTGGAAAAGATAATTTACTCCAAAATTGGGATTCCTAATTACTCTGGAAATTAATCGTTTTTTTCAATAATTGTTAGCTAGCGTTCTAGCGGTTGTCAACGACTAGAACGCTAGCTAACAATTATGGGAAAAAATAATTAATTGGCGGAGTAATTAGGAATCCCAATTTTGGAGTAAATTATCTTTCCGAGATACTCTATCCGGCTCTTCAAGCGTTTTTTTATTTTTATTGAATTTGAAAAGATCATTTACTCCGAAATTCGGATTCCTAATTACTTTGGCAATTAATCGTTTTTTTTCAATAATTGTTAGCTAGCGTTCTAGCGGTTGTCAACAACTAGGCCGCGAGCTAACAATTATCGGAAAAAAACGATTAATTGACGGAGTAATTAGAAGTCCCAATTTTGGAGTAAATTATCTTTTTCAGACAGTCCATCCGGGCCTTAAATAAAAAAAATCGTGGAACAGAATATCATGGGACAGGAAATAGAAGTTTACAGCGCTTTTTTATGAGAAGTTGAAGAGATTTTGAATTTTTCTAGCGTCAAGTGAATCGCTTGGACGGATCGAGTAGTAGCACCTGCGTATAGGCAGACGAGTCCGTTCTCTTAATTCTAAAGGTGGAAGACGTGAATTCGAATCGCGCAAGAATCAATACTAACGGATTCGATTTGAAAATAAATTCCAAGTGATCCCTGAAAATAGTCTCAGAGTTTGTCGTACCTCTTAGTGAATATCGATTATTAATAAAATGTTTAAATTTTCAGAATGGACAATGTTTGCCATCCGTTCCAGAATTCCACTCGGATTCTCGCTGAATTCATCCGAGTTGAGTGTTGGCGCGAGGAGGTCCGAATTTATCGGGATTACTACTTTTTTATGCACCGTAAACCGGAAGTTGAACTTCGATGTAGAACCGCTTCAAAGCACAATGACCAAAAGGAGCTTGACCCCATCGAAGTGGCTAATTTGCGTAAACTAAGTCTTCTAGTTCTCGGCCTGGACTCAGTATCTCGCCTAAACTTTCACAGAATGATGCCAAAGACCGTAAAAACCTTGGAGTCACTATCCGCCATTGAAATGCTAGGCTACAATAAAGTAGGAGACAACACATACCCCAACATAGTTCCGGTTCTAACTGGTCTCTCAGAAAAGGAACTTCAAACGACATGTTGGAATGAAACCAGTAAGCCCTTCGATGACTGCCCCTTCATGTGGAAGAACTTCAGCACATCTGGTTACCGCACAATTTTCGCAGAGGATGCTTGCTCAATAACAACGTTTAATTACCTCAAACCTGGCTTCTACCGTCAGCCAACGGACTACTATCTCCGACCCTACTGCGTAGCCGCTGAGAACGATATCGGCAATACTCGAAAATTAAATACACATTTGTGTCTGGGAACGCGTAAGAATTTCGAAAACTTCTTAACGCACTCGAGTAAAGTTGCCAGAACATTTTCGAAGGATCCATACTTTGCCTTTTTCTGGCAGGCAAGTTTAACTCATGATTTTTTTAATTATCCTCAGCTGGGTGATGATGCATATTCCAAGGCCATTCACCAATTTTATCAAGAAGGAATAATGGAAAATACGGCGTTAATCGTTATGAGCGACCACGGCATGAGATGGGGGGAATTTCGGCAGACATATCAGGGGAGAATGGAGGGAAGTTTACCATTTGTATTTATGGTGTTGCCGAAATGGTGGAGAGAGAAATATCCAATTGCTTTTGCAAACCTGAGGAAGAACGCAGAAAGCTTAACGACTCCCTATGATCTACACGAGACTCTGACTGACCTTTTGAAACCTGAACTGGTTGAGGAAGAGAGGATTAAGAAGAGGACTAAGATTATCAATTGGTTTGACGACAAAAAGCTGCTACCCAGAGGTATCAGTTGGTTCCTACCAATTCCTGAATCCCGAACATGCGACTTAGCTGGTATTCCTGGGCATTGGTGTATGTGTCATACGTCCAATGACTTTGAGATTGGCCACGAATCAGTGAAGAATACAACTGCATTTCTTATAGAGGAATTAAATTCAATGCTGAGGAAATATCCTCAATGTGCAGTATTGAGAATAAACAGGATCAAGGATGCCAAGATGTGGAAACATACAGAGACAGATGGTAATGATCCTTGGGTAGACTTGACAGTGACCATCGAGACCCTTCCTGGAAATGCCGTATTCGAGGCATCGATCAGACATGGAACTGATGGCATTAATAAACTCATAGGGTCCATTAGCAGACTCAATGCTTATGGCTCTCAGAGCGCTTGCGTTAATGATTTCAATATGAGATTGTATTGCTACTGCGAGTAAACGAACATGTAACGAAAACACTGTGTTCTCTGTGACGAAATTATTGATTTACTATATAAACAATATTTTGTAGTATTTTTAATAAATGTTAATGAAACTGTTTCCAAGGGTTCTTTCTTTAGGCCACCTTTTTTATGGGGAGACGGCTGCCTTTAAGAGAAAAATAATAAGCCTTTAACAGCGAAAGGAAATACAAAGAGAGATGATGAGCCAAGTCCTGAAGAAATCTACAAGTTATCTTCTTGGGTTCATCATAAAGAAGGCAGAAACATCCAATCCCTTTCACAAATCGGAGAAGAAATCCTAGAAAATTCCGGGGATTATTTACGAGAATTTCGACGATCCTTGCAAAGTCTCATCTAAGATAATTAAAAAAAGGGATATGAATACGCATAAATAAATACGCATAATTGGACGGAGAGAAACTACTGCTTGGAGGCATGGGTCATTTCATTTCTGGACATGAAATATTGCCGCATATATCATAAATACAATAATATTCTAGTTCTCAACAACTTAATCAGGGTTAGAAGACCTTCATAAGGCATTGATATTTGTTTCAACAAAGGAAAGACTTCGATGTGTGCAATGGATGGTAACAAATAAATTACCCAATTTTCTAATGACAATTGTTGGTTTTTTTAAATTACCTTTTATTTAAATATATATTATCGATGTAGTTGGTTCTCTTGGAAATGATGCAGAACACATGTCGCCTTTTTATTTCCAAAGACAAATATACAAAAGTAACTGAGTGTCTTCCATTCCACTGGTTATTCAATCACGTGGCTCACTTTATGTATTTTATCGATGAAATTCATCTCTAATCAATGGAGATCAATGGACCTCAGATTCCATTGTGTATCCTATGCACTGAGGGCTGCTGTAGAAGTTCCTTGATAGCTAGCAATAAAAAATACAAACAGATGCAATTAGATCAATATTAATCCAAAATCATTATTAAATTACATCTGTGCCCCAATATTATCATTTTCCAATTACTCTTATGATTAATAACCGAATAAAAATTATAGTTGGAAAACATCATTAAAGGAAATGTCTGCGGCTCAGATAATCAAATAAAATAAAATTTCTGAGGATTTTTTTTAAAAGTGATCTTGTGAAAAAAAATTCATCTGTAGTATTCATAACACAATATTTCGAATTAGAATCGAATTAATTAATTGGAATAATTGGAATCATTAGAATTTCGTATCAAACAATAAAAATTGAACTGTATGAAAAATTTATCTTTTAATTATGATATTCTATATTTATTTCTTCATTTAATCTGGCGCAGTTTAAGATTTTTTGCATAATGAATTTATTAGTGGATTGAAAAATGTTCGCAGCATTAGTTGCATTTTTATTTCCTTCATCCATGATTTTATTTACCTTCTTTCTCTTCAGCAGAGAAATCTTTTTCAGGGAATGCAACGTCGAAGGTGATGTACAGGGTACCATGAAGATTATTATCATCGTAATTAGGCATTCCTTCTCCCTTCTTCCGCATTCTCGCTCCAGGCTTTGTTACCTTGTCTCTGATAATCGTGACTTTGTGGCCGTCTAGATGAATTATGTCTAATGTAAAGCCGATAAGAGCATCTTGGAGGGATATCGTGATATTGGTATACAAATCGTCGCCCAATCGCTCAAAAACTGGATGAGGCTGTGTACGTATTCTGAAAATAAAACAAAATAGATCATTTGAATTATAGAATAGAATTTTTCTTCGTTGAAAATTTGTACCGGAAAATTTTTGCGTATTTACCTGACGATCAAATCTCCGGGGTCACCGTCAATATGCGGCTCTCCTTCAGCTACGAATTTAGTCTCCTGACCGTCAACCATTCCAGGTTCCACCTCGACCTCAAGAATTCTCTCTTCATTAACTAATTTGACGTTTGGACATTCAGAACACACTGCTTGTTGAATCATTTGGAATCTTCCATTTCCTAGATTACGAGTCACTAATTCTTGTCTACAATTGCATTTTCTAGTGCCTTTAGCGGCTTTTATCACTAGTTTATTCCTAGTTATCTGTAAAGAAATAAGACGATTATTATTAGACTTTATTTAATGTTTTTGTTAATTTTTCTAATCCAACTTATCAATTTTTTTTTACTTTTCCCTAGTGGTTGGAGAATAAATTTCAGAGCTGCGGAAGTTTTTCTTTAACCCTAGACTTGACAAGTATGAAAGCCCATTATTCATCCGAATTATCTATTCTTTTAACAACTTTGTTTATAATAATCAATAATTCAATTCCTGCGAACGCAGGATTTTTTTTTAAACTTATCTCTTTTCAAAGAATTGGCTGGCAAAAAAAAATCTGAATTTCTCATGCCACTATTTTCGATTGATTAACTTGAAGAATAAATTACCTCTACGAAACTACCACTGTACAATTCTTCAAGCGACACAAACAGATCCATGACAACATTGGATCCTTGTGGTGTCTCGTGTTGCTGTTGGGATTCGCCGCCGAAGTGGAAGCCAAAGTCACCGAAGAAGCTGGCGAATGGATCGGCATTGTTCATCATTCCATCTTTCTTCAAGGCCTCTTCACCACCCTTGTCATACAAATCTCGTTTGTCAGGATCTGAGAGTGCCTCATAAGCAGCTGAGAGATCCTGAAATTTCTGGGAAGCATCAGGATCATCTTTATTCTTGTCCGGATGATACTCCTTAGCAAGTCTTCGATATGCTTTCTTGATTGCATGGGTACTGGCACTCCGAGAGAGTCCCAATATTTGATAGAAATCTCTTCTGCAATTAAAATTTTTTTTTCACATGATAAAATATATTCATAAGTATAGCAGTAGTAGTAATGGTCTCATCCCCAAGTAGGAGGAGTACTCTATTATTAAAAATAGTTTTTATTTATTTATTTTGTACATCAGACCCCGTGAAAACCGCAATCATTGAAAAATCAGTGGAGAGCGTTTTTTTGGGACTCAAGAGATAGATTTAGAGAGTATTTATTATTATATATAAATATATCTTAATAATTTAAAAGCATCTGATGCACTTTTTTTAAACTACCGAAAATTGCTGATTGTTGAAGGAATCACACTAGGTGTGCCCCTTGATGATCATTCTTTCTAGAGGATGATTCCTCCAGTGAGTTCAATTTTTATTTCAGTGATATTTTATTTTATCATGAACATTTGCAATAAATTCAAATGAATAATAAAATTCGTAAATGCGGCTCCTGAGCCATAAATAATATCAGAATAAATATTGCTAGGTTATTCGTAATAATCGACGAACCTTGAATTTTTTTAAACTTACCCAGCATCCACACACACACTTCCCAACAATAAGTTAACTAGCAGCACTAAACTAAATCCAAAGACTTTCATGTTTAATTTTGCAATTCTACACTAGTAAATAATCATCAACCTTTTCTTGTTGATTTTACCGGAGTGCCAGAATTATCAAATGTTTCCTGTGTGATATACACAGGAATAAACAGTATCGTGTCTTGACTACTCGTGTTTGACGTTGATTGGACGGTTCGCAGACAGTAAAAATTACTAGATGACCCGGCGTGTGAGTGTGAGGTTGGGTTAGGTAACTAGGTATATTTAGGGTCTCTAGAAAATCCGTATTGTTGCAGATGCCTACTCCAAGTAGTCAACCATAAAATAAAAAAATAATAAATTTCATAATTTTTATCACTTGAAAGTCGATTGCAGAGCGGTGTTACCTGGTTAATTCAAATTTACAGTAAATATTTATTTTTATTCCGACGTGCGGAAAAGTGACTTTACCGCACGCTGTGGCATTGCGTGTGGCGTTCTCTCTCCCTTGGGATGAGGTACTACGAGTCACTCAAACCCCAGAACCTCAGTCTCTACTTTAGTCAATCCTCTTTGGTTCTGTCTGCGGAATTCAGCCAGTGCGTCATTGGTCGTGGATCCGTGATTTTGTGTATTGGAAACGTTCTTAATTTCGCAAAATATATCGAACATAACGCACTGTTGCAATAATCTAGTATTCAATTCGTAATACCACAAAAAAAAAAATAGAAACGCTATCGATTTAATAAGAAAGTTGAATTGCGAAGATATTTCGAGTTAAATAAAAAAACAAATAAACCGGAAAATAGATTGAACACGTGAGGACAAGCTGTCCGGGGGGTGGTGGTGTCTGGCAGTACATTGGATGTAATCATTTATCAATATCCTTCATAAAATTTGTTTCAGTCTTTCATTCGATAAATTTGTTGAGTTTTTAAAAGAGTTAGTTCTTATCTTCAAGCTGCGCGCTGTGCTCAATACAACGAGGAGGTAATATTTAACTTTTTATCCATTAATTAATCTAATTATTCATTTATTACAAGCACATGAATCTCTCCTGCGTACCATGTCCTCCGATATCATTTATTCGCCATTCTTCCTACCACTATTTTATTACAATTTCAATCTAGTTGAGGAAGACGGGGATTATGTAATGTCTCAGGTAGCTTTTGGAGAACATGTTTTAATGTAATTTCGGTTGGATATGCGAGGTAAAAAGGGAAAAAGGAAAAAGGGCAAAATGGCAAAAAGGCAAAAAGGCAAAACGGTAGAATCTATGGGCGCCGGTCTCCATCACTGATATTTTATGAAAATCAGTCAGTGAAACAACCTGACGCTAATTTATCAATTATTTTTTCGTTTTGATGAAGAAGCGTGGGGAATTGTAAGAGATTCAAAGAATGAGTGACGGATTATTTTTGAGAAACGCCGACATCTTGTTAACGTACTTGGTACGAGAGTATTGCCCCTCTCGGAGGTTCTGTATGTACGTTAGAGACGGCGGTTACATGGGTTTATGTACTTGAGGAGAAAATCAATACGTTCAACGTCTCGACATCTCGAAATTTGTGTTAACATCCTGGCTGTGGAAAGCACTCGATCATTAACTTTTTTATTATTTAATGATATTTTTCATGTTCTGAGGATTCACAAGAATTCTTGACCATTTGCTAGAGATTTTCTCAGACAAGACTTGTGCATGCGAACGGTTGGCATTGTTAGTGGAATGTTGGTAGTTACATCGGACAACATGCAAACGAATACGTAATTCCAATTGAATGGCATATTGATAAATTTGTGGACTTTTTCTGTTTGACATTTTGACGTCCTGTGCACGTGCACTCGTAATTTACCTTACGTGACAATTCCAGAACTAATCTCAAGTTTTTTCTCAACTTTTGCATTTTTTTAGGACGAAATAGTCTATTTCATTGATTTTGTAATATATAATTAATTTAATTGAATTAATTCTGATAATTTCGATAATAATTATTTTATATGTTTATTTATATGATATATATATTATTATATGTATATATTATATGTTTAAATATTTAAAAGAATATACAGTTGAGTCCTGCGGATCGTTTTCATCTGCAGAATTATTGTAGATGATATCTGTAGCTTTTTATGATCATATACTTGATTTGGGTATATAAAAATGGTACATACTGGCATATAGTATATCCTCTATTAAATTAAACTATTATAATATTATATTAGATTTGATATCTTTCCTGTCGGGATGGGGCTTTCTACTCGTGTGGAATCCGCGGTCAACCACATGACTGATAAAACCCCATCATAACTCGGATATTTTTTTCGTATTTTCATATTTTGAAGTTTTGAAATTATTCCAGTTCTCAAAAATAGTGAGAAGCAGCAGGAAATATTTGTTACCTCAAAGCCATTACCGGCCCCCAGACACACGAGTTTAGAATTTATTATCTAATTTATTATCGATAAGAATAATAGTTATGTAGTGGAATGTTGCCAGTTTCAGTGGCAATAATTTCAAACGTTAACTCATCGCTATTTTCTCGTGGTAAATTTAAAATATTAAAAATGAATCCAATGAATTTTCATTGATAGTCATACTCAAAATTTGATAGACTACTCAAAATTTGTTCATGAGCTCCAAAAGATTCACTGAGAGAAGATAGTATCGGGTGATTTTCAGGGCGAGTTTTTAATATTATATTTTAGATAAACGCAGGATTAGTCGATGTTATCGAGTTAGGGACATCCACAAAAGTATCATGTTCTCAAGTTGAGGGTACAGGCCAAAGTGCTCCTAATGCCAAAATTTCGCGACTTATATACGCATTGGTTGCTAAGCAACGTTCTGACGTCACACGAGGCGGTTCGTATTCAACTCGAGAGATTGTAGTTATTCTGGTAAAACTTCTATTCACAATAACCAACTTCTCTCCCTCTCTCACTCTCTCCCTCTTCACTAAAAAAAACAATTATATTATTATATAATTATATTTGAATAAAATATAATTTGCAAAATGTCGAACTCTTTTAATTAAAAAACAAACGGCGACTCTATGATCTGGACTTTGATATTATTATTGTTTTGCCGTTAAATTTATTTATTCATTTTTTTTTATTTACATTTCTTTTTCCTATTATGATGTTTTTTTTTAATTCTTAAATTTATATTTTTATCTTTTCTTTATTTGAAGAATAAATTAATTATAGATTAAAATGGGAATGCCAAAAAATAGAAAACATAAAAAAATGATTCACTTGATTTTCCATAAATCCATTCACCTAAATCATAGCATCCATTGGTGTAATTAAATAATAATAACTGCAATTTAAGTTGAGAGTAGTAATCAAATGAGTTAGTTCAGAGATGCAGATTAATCTAATTGGGCAATTATAAAATAATACTTGCTGAAACGCTGACGTGTTATGAAAAATATGACAGGTGTTATTAAATATTGATTTTCACAAATGATTTATTTAAAATGCTAATGATGTATTTTAATAAATTTAATAAAATAACACAGAATGGAGGACATACATTGAGAAAAAAAATTATTTTTGCCAAGATTATTTTCTTTCCACCAGTAAATCTGGCGATCACTGATTCCCATAAGACTTACTGATGAAAAATATATTTTCTGGTGGTTAATAAATATTCTTGGTTGAATAAAATTTTTTTCTCACTGTAATAACGAATGATTGATGTATATTATTGTGGAATTGTTATTATTAATTATGAAAAAGGCGACGAGAGATATTTTAATTCACGTAGCGAAGAATTAATGCAAACAGAAGAGTAAGAGGAGAGTAAATTCAATTGACATATGCAAATCCTCTAATCACTGAATTTTTTGCATACGCGTGGTCAACGATTTGTATTCAATTCCTTTTTATTAATAATTTTATACGCAATATTTATACGATTCTCTTATTACACTGAGAGAAATATTCAATAAAAATTACGTGTATTTTCCGTAATTCTGGAGCGAAATGTGATTGTCGGAAATTTAACGGAACTGTCACGTAATTTTTATCTAAAGTCACGAAAATTTTCCGTAATTTTTACTAAATATTTCTCTCCGTGCACAGACGTATTTTGTAATTTCGAAATACTAAATTTTGAAATTTTTTATAATAACAAACTGAAAGTTCGTACGTCATGGGAATAATATGCGCGTTAGATATAAATAGAATCGAATAAATCCGTCAATAGTTTTTTCTCGTGGCTATAAATTCCTCCGAGGTCTAACTACGGTTGCACTTTGCATCCTATTAGCGACTTATTAATCCGCACTTTCATCCATTTGATTACATTTTTGCATCATAACGATGTATCATGAATGAGAGTGAGTCAAAGGGAATGATAAATGGTTTTGAGACGTCGGGAAATGATAAATTTTTTTTACTTTTGTTGTCTTTCAACGTATGATATATTTAGTGGAGTCTATCGAGCGTATGCCAGCAATTACCACGACTAGTACTTTCATTCCTAATTTTAGTAATGCAAAGAGTAGTTAAAGGCGCAGTTTTTGGATGAGGAAACAGACGAATTTGACCGAGAAAATTACCAGGTTTTTCCTCGCCTTCGGTAATTTATACGAAATGTGTTCGGGATTTTAATTAAAAACTAATTCAAATAGATAAAATCTCAATTGTCAAAGTATAAAGTCCGCGATTGGAATTTAATATACTAAAATTATATCACATCTTCAATGAAAGTAAAATCATTAAAACTAAACTTGTCACTCTTTCTCCAGAAATTTCCCAGAATTTTACGTAAAAACTGACAGATTGCGTTTAAAACAGAAAGAACTAATCGAAATTTGCCAGATGTGACGTAGAGAAGTTTTTTTAAAAAATATCTTGTGGTTCTTCAATGAAACTTTGGAAAATATCCGATAATTGTGAAGTTCATGTGATATTTTAAATTGATTTATTATAAGTGAATATTTTCTTATTTATTTATTGCACTGCAGAATATCTAAATAAATTTTTATTTCAGATTACGAATATGAGCTCTGGTGATTCTTGGTCTCTTCCAGTAAAACAGGGTCTTTATGACCCAAGTTTAGAGAAGGATGCGTGTGGTGTTGGATTTATCGTAGCTATCGATGGAAAAAGATCACATAAGGTACGAATATTCAATTTTTTCTCTAATTTCACCGAAAAATTAATCCTCTTATCTCCTTACATCCCGATGATTGCCCGTCTTATCTAGAATTATTCTCATCCATCGACTGATCTGATGATTCACTTACAAATTATTAAAATTTAATCTCAGAAAAAATTATCTCATTAACGTTGTCTGTTTTTGTTATTAAAAAAAGGATTATTATGACAATCATAATCACTGGATTTAATGCATCATCATGACACTCACGGTCAGTTTAAATAGTAATCTCAGTAACTTCCAAGCAGAACTGGAAATTCTCATTGACTAAATTAACTTCAATTTTCATCAAACATTTTTTCTCACGTTTACAACTTTAAACATTTGTAATTTGTAACTATTTGTAAATTTAAACGTACAGAGTTCTCTTTGGACTGTAAATTTCTGAGATTTTATGAGGATTTCATGAGAAAAGATCTTTTTATGTGGATAAAATAATATTTGTATTGTTTATTTCATTGATGTTACAAATGTTCTCCTTTGTTTTACATCGGTAGGGATAAAATAATAAATATAATAGTAAACCCAAAGATGGTATTTGTTAAAAACGATATTTACCAACTTGTGCGTTATAATATTTTATTGTACACTGACAAGTGGAAAATGAGGATAGGTATGTGCGTAGTGTGCGTTATTCGAGACTTTTTTGTACAGAACGTAAAAGAATTTTAATTACCACATTCTGTAGGTAAATCTCTCCCGAAATGACTTGCTTGAAAAATGAAAAAAATTATGTGCAGAAACCTCTCTCGCTTATCTGCAGCATATTATCTCCATCGTTATCACAAAAACTGGAAGAAACATCGAAAAAAAATTGCATCATTGTATATAAATCAGCGAGAGTCTTCAGAACGCAATTATCACTCCATTAAAAAATTTATATGTGTTAATTTCCGCAAATTAATACACCTTTCAATTTTACAGACATTATTTCAAAGTCCTTGAGCACGGGAAATGGAATATCTCACAAAAGGCATTCTTCTGCTGATATTTATTCAGTCTAATTGATGTTCTCTTTTTTGTCATCTTTCTTACGACTACATGAGTGCTTGTACTCAAAGCTTTCAAGAGAAAAACGACCCTGAGGCCGTCAACATTTTTCAATCTTAACAAATTGAACATGAATGTCTTCATCAATTGTCGAATTATTTCAAGACCCATTTTCTTCACACCAAAATTTCCTGAAATATACTTTATAATTTTACGATTCTCCACAAAAGAATCGCCGAAGAATACAGAAAACTGAAGAGACAGGACAAAATCGAACGCATTCCATTTCCTTCAACTCAAAAATTCGTTTGAATATTCCATTTAATTAAATTAAATTTAATCATTTATCTTTGAATAATTCTCCAATCAATTGCATCATAATGATAAGTTTATTACAATTCTTCATTAATTTCAGGATTAATAATTTAGTAATCCATTGATACATTGATAAATTCATTTCTTCCAGATTGTAAGTGATGCAGAGATTCTCTCAGCTCGTATGAATCACAGAGGTGCGTGCGCCTGTGATAATGATACTGGAGACGGTGCTGGTGTTCTCTGTGCAATTCCTCATGACTACTACGCAGAAGAAATACGGTTTGTTATTGAATCCACATCAGTAGAGCATATTAAAAATTATTATCATACTTCTGTGCGTCACAGACCTCTTTACGGAGATGCTTGTGTAATTGAGCACGCAGGAGTCAGTGATAAGTACGGTCTGTTGCAATTACCAGGGTGACCGCAGGCCCCGGGGGGTCCACTAATATCTTGATGATTAGATTATATTAGTATTCAGTTTTAATTCCACATATTCGAGTTCATAGATTCTGATATGAGAGTGTGGAATTTCCTCTCAATTTCAGATTTCAGATCAATTTATTCAACTACTTACGATCATCCATGTCATTTCAAATAATATTCAAATAAATTACGGCATTCATTTATGATAGATTGATTATTGTTATGGAGTATTAATTTATTTTTAATATTCTGTCGGTTTTTATTGTTTTTTTTTTGGATTTTAATGCTATAGAAATTTACAAATTAATGGATTTTTAAGAAGAAAATAATTTGACGCCTCGTTCCCAATTGCTGACAATGATCGAATGACATTGCGTTCCTTATCTACTGTTATTTAATCGAATAGATATATAATTTTTTTTTGATATTTAAAAAAATTCTGGAAATATTCTGTTCCTTTGTTCGCAGAGGTATTTATTAATAATTGATTTATCACGATAAGTTGCCCGCGAACAAAAAAATGTTCCCCATGTTGAATGAACAATTATTCCAGAATTTTTAAAGCCATCGAAAAAAATAGATACCTAGATTGAGAGAATCACTTATATGTACGTTATCTTGTGTTATCCATTATTTTGTTATTTTGTTATACAATTGATGCGAAGAGATTGTTGTCTTGGCGATAGGATTATGTGGAATTATTTTATTTTCCAGTGAAAAACAGGGAATTCAACTCCCCGAATTTGGAAAATATGCTACGGGTATTTTATTCCTCGATAAGAGAACCCATGAGCAGACTGAGGCTGCTTTCGAGAAGCTCGCAGCAGAATGCAACTTGAAGGTATTTTTTTATCGAAATATATTCAGGGTGGATATATTTCCAGTAGACAAAATGTGAAGGTCTGCCTGAAAGGGGATGCTGTAGATAAAATCACGCGAGATATTTTACCGTTTTCACCCCAAAAACCTGATCACTTTCTCCAGAGGGCTAATCCATAACTAGAGAATTTTCGATACTCACATTTCTCCCACTTTGTCAAATTCAACAAGGCTTTGTCTTGCTATTGGTCTAAGAAATTCCACCCCAATAACTGTTGTTAGAAGCTCTTAGAAGAGGCCGGGAAAGGGATTTGGGGATCATTATTAATTTATTTATTAATTAGGAGGCCAAAGGGACCGCAGCATACAAATTAATTATCTACAATCGCCTATTTTTCATCGCTGATACGTTTTTTTTTACAGGTAATTTGTTGGCGTGACGTGCCAACAGATAATTCTCACATTGGCCAAGTGGCACGAAAATGTGAGCCTTACATGCGTCAGGTATTTGTCACTGGGGATGAAGAGGGAGAACTCCTCAACCGTCAGGTAATAAAATTACGAAATAGTTTTATCAATTCCTCGAATAATATGGGGTAATAATTTCAATAGGGTGTTATATCACTACCCGATGGGACTAAATAAATTTATTGAATTCTTTTCAACTGAAATTTCATCCAATTTTTTGTTGATATGTTTCATTTTTTCGATTCGTCGTCGCCTCACACATTTTAAATTAATAATTAAAGTATGTGTTGAAACTTTAAAGCTCAAAACTGAAACAAAAGCTCCAACTGCCATCGACGAGTGGGAGTCATTGAACTTTTGATTAGCAATCGACTTTTCACTGAAAAAGCAACTTTAAATTATTCAGGTGTTCGTATTACGGAAGCGTTCATCGCACACTATACCACAGCCTGGTCTACGGTTCTACATCTGTTCGCTTTCACTCAGAACAGTGGTCTATAAAGGCCAACTTACCGCCGATCAATTGTGGCTGTACTTCACCGATCTCAAGAATCCAAAATTCGAGACTTATCTTGCTCTAGTACACACGCGATTCTCGACTAATACATTCCCGAGTTGGGAGAGGGCACATCCTTTGAGGTGAATTTTAATCTCTACGGTTTTACTGATTTTTATCTATTTTTTTTTCTACGGATAAATATGTAACGTCGATCTAATGATTATTCTTAACACGGTGTAATTTTAATTATTTTCAGGATGCTCGCACATAATGGAGAAATCAATACTCTCCGTGGCAACGTAAACGCTATGAAGGCTCGTGAAGGTGTTATGAAAAGTGATGTTTTCGGTGAAAAACTCAAAGATTTATATCCAGTGGTTGAACCTAATCTATCGGACTCTGGATCTGCTGATTGTGTACTCGAGTTTCTAGTCATGGCTGGTGAACGTACATTACCAGAGGTAACATAGATTTTAATCTCAAAGACGTTAAAATAATTATGAGGAATAATAAATAATCCATAGCGTGTAAATTATTCATAATATGAATAATAAATTAAGAAACAGTCACATGACTTTAAATTTTTGGCCGTTTCATCGTTATTCGGGTGGTAGGTCACTTTTTCCCTGGACATTATTTCCCGGACAAAATTTCCTTTTAAAAAATTTCCCCGGACCAAATTTCCCAATTTTTTTTTTTTCATCATAATTTTTTTTTCTTGTTCCCCAATTTTAGTTCCAAAATGATATTTTATTTTTTTGAGGGAAATTTTGTGCGGGGAAATTTTTTTAGGGGGAATTCTGACCAGGGGATTTTTTTTTGGGGGGAAATTTTGTCCGGGGAAAAATTGCCTTAGAACCCGTTATTCGTCGTCTTCTGGAGCATGAATGAATATGAAATTTACAGGCAGTGATGACAATGGTTCCGGAAGCGTGGCAGAATGATTTGACAATGGCAACAGAAAAACGTGACTTCTATCACTGGGCTGCATGCGCAATGGAGCCCTGGGATGGACCAGCCCTGCTAACATTCACTGATGGCCGCTATGTCGGAGCTATTCTGGACAGGTAGACTTATCTTTTAAATTATTCAAGATGAAACCAAAGAAAATTCTATTCAGAAAAACAGAGAATCGAAAGATTATGAGTATCTCAATACAGCGCTGCTTCCAAGGGCGTGGATCGAAAGTCCGCTTGGTACTTAATACAAGGCATTCGTTATACCAGAAAATAAATCAGGAGAAAAGTCTAGACAAATAATGGTTCGCTGGGAGGATTGTAAACCACCACGGAATTGCGACCTTTATCAGCGAGTTTTTCTATTTTTTTTTAAAATTTGGATTAAGTAATTGTTATTTATAAAGATATGCTGAGTTGCGGAAGGGAAAATGAAGAAATTGATAAATTATTTAAATTCATTTTGTCAATTATTTTATTTTTGTTAATTTTAAGGGGTTTTAAATAATGATAATTAATAACAAAGTTGACACGACTACCTTCTGCAGCTCATCACATATCCAATTGAAGAGATCCTTTAAGGATGTCATGGGGATTTCATTGCATAAATTATTAAGACATGCAATCAAAGTAACATTTGTTTTTTTTTCAAGAGAATCTGATCGTTATGAAAGTGGGGGAAGCTTTCAAAGATTAGGATGAATAATTATCAACAAGGCAACAATTCAGCTGTTAATTCATTGGTGATTGTTCTTCTGAATAAGTCTTGTTGAATTTTAGTGGATAGTCAATTCATATGACTGTTTTGCTTTGGTCATTGCCAAATTGCAATAAATCCAATGATGAAGAGATCATTGTCAGCCAGATTATTGAGTGGTGTATTTTAAGAACATTTTTAATATCCTATCAACTTAAAAATATATGTAAATCTCGACGAAGTTTTGGGATTCATCAAATTTCGAATCCAATATATTTTTCTGTTATCGGTAGACAAATTTTAATCATCTTTCCTACTGTGAAATCGTAATTATACAGTTATGTAGCAAATAAGACATTATTTTTTTAGTATTCTACTCAGACTGCTAAGTTGTATGGTCCTAAAACGACTGCCAGTCCCACCAATTGCCAGTCTAGTAGCAAAAAAGCGAATTTCGATAAAAATGAGACGGGGTGTTCGAGTGTGAAGCTAATTACACGAATTGAATTAATATTTTTTTTTTGGTAGCGATGTTACCTTGAGCGAGTGCCGAAGTGTACCATATTTCGTTGACAAATTAAAATCTTTCCTTTGGTAGTGAGCGAAAAGGTACTTTTCCGCACGGGCAGAACGTAGTAGCAGTGAAAAAAAAGATTGTTCTTTATTTCAACAATCTATGGAAGACTCATGACGTTCTGAACATATCAATCTCCAATTCAATTAGTGTTTGAATAATTTCTGTAGCAATCTATATGTACAAAATGAAGGAAAACCGTAGAAGAAAAGAAAACAAATAAATCGAAAAAGCCCATAAAAAAAAATTAGACATCTGTTTTCTTAAGTACAGTGCCAGGACGATGGCAAACGGTATCAGCCCAAATTAATTCATCATGAATTAATAACAGACACACGTGTTAGTCGACAATTATGGTAATACAAAAGACTTTTTTAAATTTTTTGTTTGGCAGAAATGGCCTGCGCCCATCGCGCTTCTACGTCACTAAGGATAACATGATGGTGATGGCGTCTGAAGTGGGCGTCTATGACACTGAGGCCAGCAATGTTGTCCTGAAGGTAAAAGATCGAGGGATTACAGCAGCCGAAAAGTCACGACATACCAAAAATAATATTGAAACGAACAGAAAAAAAACAAAACTGAATTGAAAATTAAGCCTGGCCCAATACCTGCTGCTGTTCTGTCCACGTTCCGGGGATCGATTTGAAGCAACAGATGCATCAATCCATCATCACATAAAAAAAAAATAATTCATTGTTTCCATAACACTCAGAGCTATATCTTTTCAGCATTTCAGGGAATTCGACCAATCCTATTTAATTCAAGAGACAATTATCCACTTCTCATTGCATATGTCAATTATTCAAGATGGCCATGTGGAGATTGCTGATGAGCAATGAGGATAGCAACGTTATCGTTCCCTGGAGACTTTCATTTTTTTTTTTAGTTCAAATGGAAATTATTCATTTGTTTGTTTAATTATTTTATAAGCATAATTTATCTTTTAGAAAGTTATATTGTATCATTTTTTCAAATTAGCAATGAGAGGATTTCTAATGATTGGATTGCTGAAGGGAATTATTTGCAATGCATTGTGATGGAAGAACATTCTCTTCTGGTCTTCTTGCGGTTCAATTAGATTCAAACGTTTCCCTCATGTGTATTCAATAATTCATGAAATTTTTTTAATTTCCATTTTTGTTAAATCAGGAAGCCATCGAATCATATATTCGTGATTGTTCACGTAAACAGGGGAATCATAATACTATTTTCTTTTATGCAATTGTTTTCGTTACTTTACAAAAATTATCATTAATTGAATCATATATTTGGTGTTTAATTCAATCTATTGTGGAGGTCCGTATGAAAAGGAGTCCTACTTTGTTGAGGTTTAGTTATTTATTCTCCAATGATATTGACATCTTGCATATTTTATTACAAAATGATCTAGAATTATGAGCTAGAGCTGATTCAATGGAAAAAGCATGAACAGAAAAAGGACTATCTTTTAAAATAAAAATCATCAAAGTAGACGCTTTTCATGCGGATGTTCACATTCAAGGAATGGGTTTGTATAGATCTATAGGACCGTCATCCAGCGCTGTTTTTCCATTATTAATTGTTTGTTTACGGTTTTCAATGATTAATTGAATGGGTATACTTTGATATTCATTAGGACCACCAATATTTATTTGCAGAGTCGATTGAAGCCTGGCAGAATGCTGCTAGTAGACACCGAAGAGAAAACAATCATCCAAGATGTGGAGTTGAAACTGCAAATTGCTAGGAGTAGGCCACATTCTAAATGGCTCAAGGACCAGGTACTATTACGATTATCATGATAAAATATTTAATCCTTGCACGGATGTTGTATCCCACCGTTTATAAAATTTTATTAATCGATGATGATAAATATCATGTGGGGATATGTTTTGATATTGAGAGAGGAATTTCTAGGAGAAAACTTTTTTCCAATTAATAAATTTAATGGATTGTTTTTCGTTTACTAAAGGCGTTTACCTCTCGATGTAATCCGAACAATGCCAGTCGCCACATGATTATTTTCGTTAATATGCATAATAAATTAAATTGCTTTTGTCGTGAAACATTGATATACATTCATCACATCGCTCGTCGAGTTGGTGCTGCTGCAATGGTATAAATTTCGACTACCAAAATTCCATTAGTTCTATCGATGCTCATCAAATGACTAAAAATGTATAAACTATTACCAAAATTTAATCAACCCTTTAATCAATCAGGCCATTAATTAATTCAGAGTAATTTGTTTCTTCCAATTTACCTGTGTGCTGGCGTCATTGGTGTTTAACGCAGAGGGTGAGTTCAAAATACAAAAAAGCAAACATCGATTAAAAAAAAAAAACGTCGAATTATGTGTGCAATTTAAACACTTGGATTTTTTATTTGTGAGAGTGAAATTTTATCGCTAATTTACTGCCAATTTTTTATGCTGAACCAATATCTCCCGTTTTTTTTTTATTTATATTCATATTCAAGTCTTTCGACCCTTTTTTTCTTATTTTGATCTGATTTTATTGCACTTGTAGAGAATTGATGATCAGCAACAGACAACAACAATATCATTACGATCATTATGGCTGTTATATAGTATTGGCTTTTGGTTGGGTGGAATTTTATTCTGTAATAAAGGAAACGAAAGGAAAGAATTTGAAAAAAAATCTTGTTGTTTTTGAAACTTCATCAATTTCAAATCGTGTAGATGTACCACATGCCATTCAATACCACTTTTTATAAATAATTGTGTATTGGCTAGAAATTCGTCTATTGGTTGCGGAAAATAATCAAAACAATTTCACGTTAAACATAATAATAAAATAGTATGAATTAAGCACGAGCGTAAGGGAATAGCGATTACAATCATATCAGTAATTTAATTAATTGATATTTAATTAGAAAATTATTGAAAAAATTTCTCCAATATGAATTCCTTTGAATTTTCCTTTATTGCAGAATTTTTAAAATCATTCATGACATTCACGTTTCAAATTCACTATTCAACTCGCTCATGGCACAAAACCTTCGCTACATTCGTTCACCAAATGCTTTATCAACCTAAAATGATTTTCCATTCTCAGATTTCCCTGGAGGATCTCCGCGCCGCCCACGTTCCCGTCAATAAGAACGTTGAGAATGGTCACAGCAATGGTCTAGGTATCACAAGCGGTCTGAATGTTCCAAGTGTGCTCAACCGAGCATTAGAGGCAGACAGACGTTTAGGTCTCTACAGCTACACCATCGAAACCATCAACCTGCTTTTGATTCCGATGATCAACACCAAGAAGGAAGCCCTAGGTTCTATGGGTAACGACGCACCTCTAGCCTGTCTCTCCCAATTTCAACCTCTGATCTACGATTACTTCAAGCAATTGTTCGCACAGGTGACGAATCCTCCGATCGATCCTTTCAGGGAGAAGATCGTGATGTCCCTGCTGTGTCCAATCGGCCCCGAGAGCAATATCCTGAAGCCTGACGAACGCCAAGTTCATAGATTATTCCTCCCGAATCCGATTCTCTCTCTATATGATTTGGAAGTAATTAAACACACGAGCTATCGTGGTTGGAGAACCAAGGTAATCGATGTTACTTATGAGAGAGCACTGGGACCAGCTGGGCTGCTCAAAACCCTCGATCGTATCAACGAGGAGGCTAATCTAGCTGCGAAGGAAGGCTACCAGCTCATCGTTCTTTCTGATCGTCTGGGAGGTCCTGAGAGGATTCCAGTGTCCATTGGGCTTGCTCTTGGCTCTACTCATCATTTCTTGATTGAGGAAAGACAGAGGATGAAGGTGGGACTGATTGTCGAGACTGCTGAGGCCCGAGAAGTGCATCACATGTGTGTGTTGTTGGGGTATGGAGCTGATGCTATCTGTCCATATTTGGTCTTGGAGATCGCTAGGGGACTCAGGGATGAAGGCGTTATTGACTCTGAGATGACTGATGAGGCCATGGCGAAGAACTATGCCGAAGCTATTGAAAGAGGGCTGGCGAAGGTCATGGCAAAAATGGGAATCTCAACACTTCAATCGTATAAAAGTGCACAAATCTTTGAGGCTGTCGGCCTGGCTGATACTGTTATTGAAAAGTGTTTCAAGGTGAGGATTCTTTTTCTATATTTAAGTATTACATGATTTTATGGCGTTTTTCAAATTTATTTTGAGATTTTTTTCTCTAAAGATTTTTACTCTACATAATTCCAAGATAATTCAAGAAGTGGAAAGTTCTTTTCAATTATTCAATTTAATCATTCAATTCAATCATTTAATTCAATAATTATTTCATTTATTTCGTTGAATCTTCGATGATTAAAAACATGGATCCAATTTATGATTTACCTGATTCCAAACATCCAATGAGACATCAATTTTCTTCAAATTTCTTTACGATTTTATTCGCCTATTTTATACAGCAAGTAAATTAATTCCAGGGAACACCATCGCGAATTGGAGGCGTGGACTTCGAGGTGTTGGCGAAAGAAGGATATGAGCGTCATTCGTTGATGTATCACGAGCAAATGGTTGATTGTCACATCCTTCGGAATCCTGGTGTCTACCACTGGCGAGCAGGAGGAGAGAAGCACATAAACGACCCTCTAAGCATTGCAAATCTCCAAGAAGCTGTTGAGCTGAAGTCCTCGAATGCCTACGAAAACTATAGAAAATCAACAATGGAATCCGTGAAATCCTGCACCCTTCGAGGACAACTGCAACTCCGTAAATCGAATCATCCAGTTCCTATTGAACAAGTGGAGACAGCATCAGAGATCGTAAAACGATTTGCAACAGGTGCTATGAGTTTTGGTAGTATATCTTTGGAGGCTCACTCAACCCTCGCTGTAGCGATGAATCGAATCGGTGGAAAATCAAATACAGGAGAAGGTGGTGAGAACGCAGACAGATACTTGAACCAAGATCCCGATTTCAATAAACGCTCTTCAATAAAACAAGTGGCAAGCGGAAGATTTGGTGTGACGTCGAGTTATCTCGCCAACGCCGACGATATTCAGATTAAAATGGCTCAAGGAGCTAAACCAGGAGAAGGAGGAGAACTTCCTGGATACAAGGTAACAGCTGACATAGCCGCTACTCGTCATTCGGTTGCAGGAGTTGGTTTGATTTCTCCTCCACCTCATCACGATATTTACTCCATTGAAGATCTCGCTGAATTAATTTACGATCTCAAATGTGCAAATCCTAATGCAAGGATTTCAGTGAAATTGGTATCGGAGGTGGGTGTAGGTGTTGTTGCTGCAGGAGTTGCCAAAGGAAAGGCCGAGCACGTGGTTATTTCAGGTCATGATGGAGGCACTGGAGCCAGTAGTTGGACTGGTATCAAGGCCGCTGGATTACCTTGGGAGCTCGGAGTTGCTGAGACTCACCAGATACTAACTCTAAACAATCTCAGATCAAGAATGATTGTGCAAGCTGATGGACAGCTGAGGACAGGATTTGACGTGATCGTTGCAGCTCTCCTCGGAGCTGATGAGTTTGGATTTAGCACAGCTCCATTAATCGCAATGGGATGCACAATGATGAGAAAATGTCATTTAAACACTTGCCCAGTGGGAATCGCTACACAAGACCCTGTGCTCAGGAAGAAGTTTGCGGGTAGACCCGAACATGTCATCAATTTCTTTTTCATGCTTGCTGAAGAGATACGCGGTCACATGGCATTCCTCGGAGTCCGCAAATTCCAAGATCTAATAGGTCGTACAGATCTGCTCCAGATGCGCGAGGACATTACAATCTCGAAGGCAAAGATGCTGGACCTTTCGAATGTCCTTCGATCAGCTCTCGAACTCCGACCAGGTGCTAACATTCGAGGAGGTAGCGTGAAACAAGACTTCCAATTAGAAAACCGTCCTGATAACATTCTAATTGAGAAAGCTAAACTAATACTGAACAATACCCAGAAATTCGTTAACATCGATATGACAATAAACAACGAGACTAGAGCATTTGGCTCGACTCTGAGCTATTACATATCTAAGCAGGTGGGCGAGGAGGGACTCCCGGAGGGTAGTATCAATATTCAATTGAAGGGCTCCGCAGGTCAGAGCTTCTGTGCCTTCCTTACTAAAGGAATCCACGTTACCTTGGAAGGCGACTCCAATGATTACGTCGGCAAGGGTCTCTGCGGTGGTGAAATTGTCATTTACCCCCCGAAAGAATCAGAATTCCTATCAGAAGCTAATGTTATAGTGGGAAACGTCTGCCTGTATGGAGCTACATCGGGTAAAGCATATTTCAGAGGAATAGCAGCTGAACGATTCAGCGTGCGAAATTCAGGAGCTGTTGTGGTCGTTGAAGGAGTTGGTGATCACGGTTGTGAGTACATGACCGGAGGCTGTGCAGTCATCTTAGGTCTGACTGGTAGAAATTTCGCCGCTGGAATGTCCGGAGGAATCGCTTATGTATTAGATGTCGATGGATCCTTCAAGAGCAAGTGTAATCCAGAGATGGTGGAACTTCTTCCTTTGAATAAACCTGATGACATCAAGTATGTTAAGAAGCTACTTGAAGAATTTGTCGAGAAAACAGGATCACTCATTGCTCAGGATCTACTTGTCACCTGGCCTGAACCCACGACGAGATTTGTCAAAGTATTTCCCTATGAGTATCAGCGAGCTCTTCAACAAATGGCAGAGGCCGAAGACACGTCTGCAACTGTAATAAATGGAGAAGAGAATGGGTCACCTATTAAAGATATCGAGGACTCAATCGAAGATGGTGATCTAGCTCAGAAGAAGCTCGATAAAATTAAAGGGTTCATGAAATATAAACGTTATGCATCAAACTACAGACCAGTTGAGAACAGAGTAGATGACTGGAATGAGATCTACAACTTTCAAGGAGTTCGTAAAGGTTTGAAAGTTCAGGCAGCGAGATGCATGGAATGTGGTGTACCTTTCTGTCAGAGCAGCCATGGTTGTCCTCTTGGTAACATAATTCCAAAATGGAACGATTTAGTATATCAATCAAAGTGGCAGGAAGCCCTTCGACAACTCCTTCAGACAAACAACTTCCCTGAATTCACTGGACGAGTCTGTCCAGCCCCTTGCGAAGGCGCTTGTGTTCTCGGTATATCTGAGCCCCCAGTTACAATCAAGAACATCGAATGTGCAATTATTGATCATGCATTTGAGCAGGGATGGATCATTCCCTGTCCACCGCTATCAAGAACAGGCAAACGAATTGCCATTGTGGGAAGTGGTCCAGCTGGTTTAGCTGCTGCTCAACAACTCAACAAGGCTGGTCATGTCGTCACTGTCTTCGAGAGAAATGATCGGGTCGGTGGACTACTGCAATATGGCATTCCCACGATGAAACTGTCAAAGCAAGTGGTGCAGAGGAGGGTCTCACTGATGGCTGCCGAGGGAATTGTCTTCAAAACTGGAGTTCATATCGGAAAGGATATCACTAGTGAGCAGTTGATGCAGGAGTTTGATGCTGTATTATTGTGCACTGGTTCGACTTGGCCCCGGGATTTACCTATTCCTGGGCGGGATTTGGAGGGTATTCATTTTGCTGTGAGTTTCTTGGAGCACTGGCAGAAGAAGCAAATGGGAAATGATTCACCTTTAAATCCAAAATTAATAGCTAAGGACAAGGATGTGATTATCATTGGAGGTGGAGACACTGGCTGTGATTGCATTGCTACGAGTTTGAGACAGGGTGCCAAATCCATCACGACATTTGAGATTTTGCCTGAACCAACAGAGAAGAGGGCAGCTGATAATCCTTGGCCACAATTTCCAAAGGTATTCAAAGTTGATTATGGCCATGAGGAGGTTGCACTCAAGTTTGGAAGAGATCCTAGGCAGTTTAGCACGCTCAGCAAGGAATTTTTGGACGATGGAAAGGGAAATGTGACGGGCATCAGGACAGTTAAGGTGGAGTGGACAAAGGACGAGAATGGTAGATGGAAAATGGTAGAGCTTGAAGGATCAGAGCAAATTTACAAGTGCGATTTGGTACTGTTGGCCATGGGATTCTTAGGACCTGAGAAATATATTGCAGAGGAACTACAGGTGAAGATGGATGGAAGGGGCAATTATGAGACGGTTAATGGGAAGTACTCGACTAGTTTGGAGAGGGTTTATGCAGCTGGGGACTGCAGACGAGGACAATCACTCGTCGTGTGGGCAATATCAGAGGGTCGTCAAGCAGCTCGTGAAATCGATTACACTCTCATGGGTCGTACAACTCTACCAGGTCCTGGTGGAATAATTTCCCATGTCGATCAACCCTCTTCCTAATCATCATGCGAGAAAAAATATTCTTTTTACATTCAAAGCCATAGTTTTAGTTCCTTAAGGTAACAAGTTCTTAACTTAATGTTTAGCCTCGCGGAACTCGGCGCAAACGCATTCGAAAACTGTATCTTTAAAACTGATTTAGTGATTAGGATTATATTATCATTTTCATTCTTTCTCAAATACAACAAAACAGTTTTTCGTATCGCATTGAGAGTTTTCAGGAGTCAATGCTTTTACGACCGGGCAGACATCGCTTATTCTTGACAAAACAAGTCCACTGAAGCCCTTTATGGCCACAAAAAAGATTAAACAACTGAATATTCTGTGAATGAATCAAAAATTGTTGAAATACTATCGTTAAATGAGTGAGCGAATGTATTACTGTAATGTTCATAGAAAAACTGAAAAACGGAGCGCATATTAAATCAATTGCTACTGAATTTTTGACAAAGAGAGAACTGTAATAAATCAGAATTGCAAACATGTCGAAAACCATGAAGTCTAATTACCAATTGGCAATAATTACTATTCATCCGTAAAAATGTGTCAATAGATTGATGGGATTACATATACTTTTAACTTGTTTCCTTTCTTTTATCAAACACTTCCTGTTCATTTGATTACACAAAACGGTTAAAACATGAAAACATGAAAATACACAAAAAAATATAATTATAGTACCTAGTGTAGAGAGTGAGATAGAGACTCAAATCTTATACATATGTATAAATAGTTTAATGCTTTAAAGGATAAAAAGATAACTATGTTGATCGAAGATTTCAATTTTTATTGTGTACGCAGGTTCGATGATTCAGCTTTCAAACGAAAAAAGTCTATCGCACCTGTTCAACAATTAGCCAAATTTCATTCTTTCCTATGATATCTTACATCACGGGAGCATTTTTTTTAGTAACGTACTTGTTAAGTTTCTTTCTCCCCCATTCGCCTTCTGTATTTTGTTATGACTTTGACAGTTGACCCATCATTTATCGTAATGCGCCCACTGAAAAAGATATTTCACGCCTATTTAGTCTGCTTATTTATTATTTATTGATGAAGGTGCAAAAAAAATGATATGAAAATAAAAAATAGAGAAACTGTTGCAGTTTTTTCTCTTGGTTCTTCTGTTTGTCTATACTTGATAAGTATTTACTGCGTCGATTACCTTATAAAACATATTACTGAGACAATAAAATTATACTATGAAATGTTATAGATATTTTAATTATTGGGTTACACTACTTTACTATTTTGTGACGAGTCTCAAGTATGCGGACTAAATCTCAGCTGAATGTTTCTATTTCAATTCAAATGTTGCGGTTAAAGGATAGACTAAAAAAGAGTCAAAAAGGATTGACTAAAGTAGAGGCTCAGTTCTGGGGGTTTGAGTGACCCCAGCGACATCGTAGTACTGCACCCCAAGAGAGGGAGGGCGCAACACGTAATACTGGGGTGTTTTTTTTTATTAACCAAGTTTTTATTGCAATGCTGGGGTGTCCATCAAGTCGACGGGGTGAATTTTATTTTCT